AACAAATGCATGAACAGTACACACATTACTTACCTTAGAATATTTTCATCCTTAGTTTATAGTGAATGGTGAATATGTTTGCTGTAGGAAGTCTGAATAAATGAAGAATGGGTATAACTGAAAACTGCTGCATTAGCAAAATGCTGTAAAGCGAGACCCTCCTGTAATATATTAGTGTGTGAAATAAGAAAAGGGCACCAAAAGATCAGATGGAAATCTACCAACTTAAAAGTAACATACTGGATACATATTCTTTGTAGTCTTTATTTACATTATTTTTCTTTGCTTCTGTTACCTTTCCTTTATATCTATTTCTTTATTTTCTTTATTTGTATGTATTTTCTTTACACATATTTCCTTTACCTGTCTATTTCCTGTCTGCTACCTACATCCCTCATGAACTAGTAAGCATTTATATACAGTGGAACCTCGGTACTCGACCTTAATTCGTTCCAGAAGGCTGTTTGAATGCCAATCTGTTCAAGTACTGAACGAATTTTTCCAAACCAATTTTCTTTTTGGTTGGCTGTTATTACTAATCTTCACAGGCCCCATGGTGACTTATTTATACAAATATAAAAAACACCAAAAAATGCAAAGAAACATGAAATACTTTACAGTGAAGTTCTGGCAGGTCATGTTTGTTTAGTGCTGAGCAAACGGTTGACTACCAAGCGATTTTTTTTACCGAACAAAGCATTCGAATACCAAATTGTTCAAGTAGGGATCTGTTCGAGTACTGAGGTTTCACTGTACAGCAGGGCCCTGCTTTATGGTGTTTCGCCTTTCAGCATTCCGCTAATACAGACATTTCAAATTATGATCAAAACTAGCTATATGGCTCCCCTCACCTGACTTTCTAATACGGTCACCATGAGCCACCCTACATTAAGACTACAAATATTTTAAGGTAAGTAATGAATGTACTGTACAGTGGTACCTCAGGATACGAACAGCTCAAAACGCGAACAATTATGTAAGTGTATTTATGTAAGTGCTTTGTAAGTGTATTTTTGGGGGTCTGAAATGGATTAATCTAATATAAATTATTCCTTATGGGAACAAATTCGTTCGGTATCAGCACTCGAACAGCCTTCTGGAACGAAATAAGTTCATATCCCAATGTACCACTGTATATGCACTTTATCGCTTTGGAGCGCCTTAAATGTCGCAGTATATTATGTGTGAGTGGGGTGGCCTGGCTGGCTACCATACCTCCCATACCTGACTTCTTACAATAAATACTACTCACCTCACCTACATTAAGACTACAAATATTTTAAGGTAAGTAGTAATGAGTGTACTGTGTGTGTATTTTACTTTTATTGTTTTTAATGCCTAGTTCTAGTGCTAACTTAATATATGTTGGTGTAAACTTATCTGGCATTTATATGCATTTATAAGTGAAAAAATGGTGTTCCGCTTTCCAGCGATAGCCTGAACCTAACCTACCATATAAGTGGGGCCCTTCTGTAATGCACTTTCATATGTTGAGCATAAAAGTCAAGCTACTGTAAAACATCAGTTGACAATGCTTTTGTTATGTTTCCAGTCCTTAACGTACAGATGCATATATTACACGGGAAAAGTCAACCAGTACAGAGTTTAAACCCATAATCTGCTTAAACAAATATATAATACTTGCACAGTATATTCATAAATATATTATGCAAATATCACAAACCAAGCGATACAGGATGCAAAACAGCCACAGGGGAAGTAGAATGATAAGTTATCATTCTACTCCCCCTGTGGTTGTTTTGCATCATAAATGTGTTAAAAAAGTTTATTTAACTGATCATTTTGAAAAGTAATAATCTCAGTTACACTACTATGGTATTACAATAAGTCCTTTCCAAAATGACCATAAACAATACACATTTATTAAGACTGAAAACACTGCACCTTAATTGATCAATGGCAATATTGCCTGAATTCTCCTTATAATCTTTGTCATTAGGGTCTTAGTGTAAAAACAAACATACTCATTCAGTTCGTTATGGAAAGTGGGATAATCCACAAGTTGTACGTAAATATGCACTTATTGCCAAATCCACAGGCTGATATTTACTACCTTATATCTGGATAAAGAATTATACCTATGCCTATAAACTAAGTCCATATTATTCCACATGCCATACTTAATATGAAGCGATTAGAGTATTTGTGAAAAAAATATATTGTACTGTATATTAAAAATGCCTCTCGGTTCCCTTTCCACAAGCCAGCAGTTTAACCTGATTAAAGAAAGTACTGTGTCAAACATCACTGTATATAAAAACACTGGGTACATGGAGGTAGGTTGTATTTCATAAATTCTGTATCACAGAAGTGGCACAAAAAGAGAGAATCATTTCACTGAAGAATGAGACAATCTTGAGAAATTTACCATTTCTCAAGAATGATAAACTGAACACATTGACTCCAGGCTGAGGGACTGATTACTTTAAACTCCTCATCTTCCACCATTCTTCTCTGTATTGGACTATACTATTTTTTAGCTAACATACGTGTAAATTTTACCTTATTCCTAGTAATGACCCTCGTATTGTAGATAGTCTTAATGACCTTGGTGTAGTAGATAGTCTTTTTAGTATGATAATAAGATGTTATCTTCATTGTAGAATAATAAGAAAATATTATAACCTTTATATTATAATAATAAGGTAAAAGGACCCCAATGGAAATAAGTCACTCTGTCTGACTTTTTTTGGGTTATCCTAGGTTCTCTACACATATGCTGCTATGTATGATAATTCTATGTAACTGTATTTGTGTATACCTGAATAAACTTACTTACTTACTTACTAGAAGAAGCCACTGACTGACAAAACATTTCCACAATAGATTCAGAAATGTTGCACAAGTGTCTCATTCTTCAAATTGTTGGTTTTCTAAACCATTTATTATCACAAACATTTCATTTCCTTTTTCAAATATGTCTTCTTGATCTCAACAGCCATTATTGTTTTCATGGTTAGGGAAGCTGACTCTCATTCAAAATTACACTTTAATAGAAAGCTAACTAAGTTTAAGCATAAGGTGAGCAACTATTTGTGTGTGACAGTCCAAAACCTTTATACCAGTACAGGTTTCACCTTGATTTATGCAGATTCGTTTTTTGTTATTTTGTACAAGTACAGACATGTTAATATTGACATTTATTGAAGGAGGCATTATGCTACTTGTGACTTCAGTCCTAATTAAAAGGCCACCAGTGGCAAAATACCTCCTTCAATGTCTTAATCATATATGCATATGTCTTATTTTCACATTATGTGAATTTGGTATTATGCGATGTCCTTGGGAAAATTGCCAAAAACCAAACATTTCTGCCACTTGAGGCCTATTTCAAACCAATTCCAGTCTGAAACCAACTAAAATCATCTTCATTTTACTAGTATGTCTTCCTTTCTGTCATATGATATCAAGAACCAGCCAGTAAAACCATGAAACTACCCTGTGTCTAGGCCAAAATTTACCAATCATAGCATAATTGAGGGCACAGTGATTAAGACAGATGTAAGTGAGAGAGTGAAAGGGTTAATCCTATACCTCTCCTCAACACTCCATCATTAACTTCTTTTATAACCTCATCTATGGAAAAAATACATTAAACAACTATGGGAACACCAAAAATTCCTGTCTATGGCCTACCTTTTCTGAAAAAAATTATCCTCTCTCTCCTATATACCCTAACTTAAGCCTCACTATTGGCATTTATTATGGTTCAGTATTATCATTATTATTATTATTTTCACACAAAAAAAACACTAAACTTGTAAAGTTTATTCACCACTAAAATGACACAGAGCAGCTGATGAGTGAAAATTAATTGTCATATTTTATTTTAATATTTTAACGTAAGCCAGCTGACTTATTTCCCAAAAAGAAGGCCAATGTGATCAGCATGACACTTTCAGAAAGAGCTAAACATTCTTCTCCAGAAAGCATACACTAAGAGTGTCTGTTTTCAAAATATGAAATGTATTCTTATAATATCTATATCCTTATGTGGAAAGGTTTACTTAATAACCTTATATTAATAACCAAATACACACACATACACACAAAATATCATACAAATATGGAAATAAGTTAAGTAAAATTATTTCTTTTAATGATATATACTGCAGAAAAAATAACCATTCACACAGAAAATTTAATAGTATGGCAGTCAAGATCAGATATGAGAAATTACTACGTATCTGTTATCAGCAGTTTGCTCTTCATAAACATAGCCAAAGCTGAAATACAGTCATTCTTACAAATTCACAGGGAAGGGGCAGTTCATTCCTGAAGGTCTCATAAAAATAAAAATAAAATCATGACTAATACTAAAACAGAGTGAACCCTCTCATTAATGGACTAATAGGGAGGACAGGGTGTATGAAACTTCCCAATTATGAAATTAACTTTACTTATGAATGGTTGTCTTCTGAACTAGTGGACTTTCCACTTATGCAGACAACCAGACACTAAGAATACTGGTATTGTAACCTGTAGTACTACAGTACAGTACTGTACTATATAATAATTTTACAGTACAGGTACAACATTGATTTTCTAGCACCCTTGGTTCCTAGGCCTTGTTGAAATATCAATTTTGCCAGACCAACAGAGGTCACATAATAATAATTCAACAATACACCTCTGACCCACCATGGTCTGATAGAAACTTAAATTAAATATAACTACAAATTTTCATATAGTCGGACTTGAGTCCTGGAAATGGGAAGTACAATGCCTGCACTTTAAAGGAGGGGTTTGGGATATTGGCAGTTTGGAGGGATGTGTTGTGTATCTTTGTATGTGTATGCTTCTGAACTGTTGTATTCTGAGCACCTCTGCAAAAACAGTGATAATGTGCGAGTGTGGTGAAAGTGTTGAATGATGATGAAAGTATTTTCTTTTTGGGGATTTTCTTTCTTTTTTGGTCACCCTGCCTCGGTGGGAGACGGCCGACTTGTTGAAAAAAAAAAAAAAAAAAATACAAATAAAACAAGTTTATTAATTCTTCTTCTTTCAACAAACCGGCCATATCCCACCGAGGCAGGGTGGCCAAAAAGAAAAACAAAAGTTTCTCTTTTTAAATTTAGTAATTTATACAGGAGAACGGGTTACTCCCGGCATTTTTGTCACCTCTTACAACACGCATGGCTTACAGAGGAAGAATTCTGTTCCACTTCCCCATGGAGATAAGAGGAAATAAACAAGAACAAGAACTAGAAAGAAAATAGCAGAAAACCCAGAGGGGTGTGTGTATATATATACTTGTACATGTATGTGTAGTGTGATCTAAGTGTAAGAAGAAGTAGCAAGACATACCTGAAATCTTGCATGTTTATGAGACAGAAAAAAGGACACCAGCAATCCTACCATCATGTAAAACAATTACAGGTTTTCGTTTTACACTCACTTGGCAGGACGATAGTACCTCCATGGGCAGTTGTTGTCTACCAACCTACTACTTAGGAAGTTATTAATTACTGTACTTAAAAAAAAAAAATGCTGCAGGACTACTACTCCTACAGTGGTAAATTTTAGAATTTTACTGGAACTGTAGAACTAATCACAAATATCTGGAAGTTGAGGATTGTCTGTTTCATAATTGAATGTTTCATAATGGATCTGTGATGTTACAGGGAGGACATCTGGGGTACTTGAAGATGAAGCTACAGAATTTTCAGATGAAGGCCTGCTTTGATAAATTCTGCTTGATTATCTTTTTTTAAATATTTCACCCAAGTGAAGTTGCTTCATGTGCTATGATCTGTCCCTGTGTAATTTTCCATGCATCAAATAAAAATTCATGAGCTCTTGTTCTACCACAAAGGAACATTGTTCTAGTCCTTTGATTAATTCACCTGACAACTCAATTAACTTGTCAACAGCCATGGCTACTGACAAGTTACCTATATAGCTATTAACCCTAGTCATAACTAGGGTTGTTAGCAAAATACACTAAGAACTGCACAAAATCAAAGGATAGCTACCAACAACTGCAGTGTAAATAATACGAGTGAGAACACACTACTCACAATGCTATCTGCGGCCACCTATTAAATTACTCTGCAAAAAAAAGTAATCCTGTAATTTTGTCCAGACTAAAAGAGGTGCCAGGCCAGCCAATGCTGGAAAATTGGCATTGTACCTGCATTGTACATAATTTACAGTAATTTTACTTACATTTTCATGGTGGAAAGATAGTGTAAACTACAGTGATTGACAGCGGTGACTCAATAACTTTTAACAGCCTTTATTCTGAGTCAAGAGGAGCTGTAAAATTCCACTAGCATCTGCACTAAACTTAGACATTTTGTAAGTTTGTTCTTGCTTCTATGGATATCAGACACTGGTTCTTAACACAATATTCCTCATATACTTGTGCCACTGAGATGCCAAACTCAATCTTCTTAATTAGTTTAAGTTTCTACGTATCACTGAGAGCCACACATTTCCTCTTGACACCACCACTTGCTCTAGAAGCCATTGTTAATTGTACTTTACTTATTATGCTAATGAAGTCACACACAATGTTCTACATCCAGTAAAAATTAGACTGAATAACAGGTGTTTGCATGACTGAGCACAAATAAAAACTGGTACGGGTGGCCTGTGACTCAGGGAACAATAAAACAGACAGGTCCTGTATGTGGTCACTCTGGCCCATACCAGACAAACGTCGGAATCATTGGGCTTGATCCAATAGTTCAGAAGATAACTTGACACTATTGCTATGGCCAAAACCGGAATTACAGACTTTTGCCCATTTTGTCCAATACTACAGTTTGTCATGCCAGTTTTCTTGTCTGAAACTGCTGAAATCCATTAATGAGAGGTTTTACTGTAATATGTATCACTGTGATACATGACTAATCTAGTTAATATTGCAAATCATAAAAAATAATGATTGGAATAAAAAAAACGAAATTTGAGCCAGAAAACTGTTGGATAATCAAATCAATTAGCTGGATGCCAATTAATAAAAACTTGGATAACTGAAACATGCAAATATGGAAACCTGCAAATCTGTAGGGGTGACTGTAGATGAAATCATCTTGCTGATGATAAATGGTGTAGAAAAACACGTAAGTAAACACTAGGACATTTATTAGAAAACATTTCAGTCTTGGGACCTTGAAGTCATCAAGGTCCCAGGACTGAAACGTTTTTTATTGAATATGTCCTAGTGTTTACTTACGTGTTTTTCTAAACCAACCTGTCGGTACTTTTTTACCAAGGTTCATACCATGATAAATGGTATACAAAAATTATGCCCATAAACATTAAAATCTAACTGCAAATGTGAATAGGCATAATTTTTTTATAAAAACAAACTTAATGAAAGATTCTTGAGAGAGAAATAATTTGTACTTTGTATTATGAGGTCTTATATGGTTCTCAACATTTATGTTAATTTTACATACAATGAGTCCATATTTATTTCTTATGTTCATAAGAATCCTTTAAACATACTGAACCACACTATGGGACACATATAGAGTACAGGTACCTCAAAATACATAAAAGCTGAAGACATGCCAAAACAAAACAAAAAATTACTTGTAGTCAGCACCAACAATAGCTTCTATTTCATCTGGGTGTTTTGGACAGGAGTTGCTGAGGACCTCTACACCGTCTTCAGTTATAAGAACATCATCTTCTAGTCTGACTCCTATCCCCAGGTAACGAGAGGGGACATTCACATTGTTTCCACTTATGTATATACCTAGAAAAAATGAATATGTTAAATCTGCTTTTAAATGAAGAATATGTGGAGTGGCTGCAAAAATAATAACTATACCAACTCAGATGATGGGAAAGTCATGGTTATGAAACTGAGAATTTTTACGTTAAATCAGAGAGGTCGGTTTATGGGAGATCAGATGAATGAGGTTCAATCTTATCATTGTGATATATTAGCATTAAGGGAGAACTGTAAAATGAAGATGATGAATTAGAAAGATAGTGTATAATGCACTGAAGAAATAATATTAGTAACAACTACGTAAAAACAAACCATGATATGGTACAGTAATAAAATCTTTATTCAGAATCTATCAAAAGAACTTGTCATCAGCAAAGAGCAAATGTCGCAAGTCCCACTTCGTATCTAATTTTTTACCTTTTAATCCTGCACCATGGTGACATCACATAATCCTTCCCTTTCCTATATACCTGAGCATGGCTACCTGCATAAAGACTCAAAGGGTTTTAGAAACTTACCACCAATTTGTTCCATACATCTGCACTATCTGCAACATTACTCTTCTATCCATTTAATTACTATATGTTTTTTCTAAACCCATAAATGCAACAAAATGATTCCTCACCTTTACTTAAACACTATTCACTAATGTGCTTCAATGTAAACCTTTGGTCTACACTTGAACACAGATAAAACACTGGTAAATTAAGACTGTAGCTTATTTGTGTCTTCCTACTAGTTTTCTAGCAAAATGGATTGGATGACCTGGCCACAGGAATAATGCTTCCCAGAAACATAACAGATACAGCATTAGTGGATATCCAGGCAAGTGAAGTCAGTCACAATCTTTGCTGCACAGATACATACCCTCGTATTTCTTCTATTAACCCTTAAACTGTCCAAACGTAGATCTACGTCCACGTGCAGGGGGCTCCGAACGTAGATCTACTTTTTTTTACATGCTTTCAAATGGGGAAAATCAAGGTCAGAGCGCTACGCACATGAACGTAGATCTACGTTTGGACAGTTTAAGGGTTAATATCAGTTAAACTCATCAAAAACAGGGAGTTGGAAGAGGAAACATTTCATCAAGTATATAAACAGAAAGAAAATTAAGAATACCATACCAGGTTCAACAGTAATTATACAGCCAGGTTCTAATGGACGATTTCTTGGTACTAGAGGTGTGTCGTGAACGTCCATCCCAAGAAAATGACTCACATGGTGAGGGCAAAATCCATATGCAGCCTAAAAGACAAGTTACACAGTACTTGAAAATAGTGCTTACAAGGAAATTTATTAGAATATTCATTTTCATTATAAAAGAAAAGAAAAATGAAAGCAATAAAGCTGCATACAGGCATACCTCATAAATACAGAGCTCATTTTAGAGTATTTCGCTAATACAGAACTCTACAATTATATTCAGGTTTATTATTTTTGGTGGTGACACACACACATCAGCTGACCCGTGCTGTCTATTTACAGCATTTGTGCAATGAGTGTTTCAGTGTCATATTCTGGCAATTTTCAAAGTTTTTACTTGTCTTATTGTTATTATTGTAATTATTAATTACAGTAAAATGGACCCTAAGGTTAATTCTGTTGAAAAGAGGAGTTGCAAGCCTCCTCAAATCAAAAGCTAGAAATGATCAAGCTTAGTAAGAAAGGCATGTGGAACACCAAGAAAGACATTAGAAGATCAAACCAGGTCCACTATTCCCTTCAGCCTTCCTCTGATAATTCTAAAATGTTCATCAGTCACCATAAGCAAAGGATGAAAATATTTTAAGGTAAGCAATAACAGTGTGCTATTATTTTTAGTTTTTCATCTCTTTTTTTTAGGCCTAGTGATATTGCACACTTAATAAATTATAGTGTAAACATGTTTTTAGGTTTTAATATGCACTGGCAAGTGAAGAAAAAGCTGATTCACTTTACGGTGATATTCGTTTTTTGGCAGTGGTTTCGAACTAAACCCGCTGCATTAGTGAGGCATTCCTGTATGTGGAATTATCATTGAAATACTGTGCTCTAATCTTTATTTAATTTTTCCCATATTCAAAGCTTATTTTCTGTATTTTTTTAATAAATATCATCATCTAACAAAGTTATATCATAATTTCTAAGTTATATTCATGGCACATACATAATACTCACTCGCATTAGCTGCCCTTCAGTGAAATTTAGTGGTAATATACAGAGTTCCTGTAGTACTTTACCAAGTCTGGTACACATTGCAGAAAATAATTGATCTAGAGTAGGATGATGTCTGCAGGCAGTTATGACAGCCTCTTGTACCTCATGTACTGCCTCATAAACATCTCGCTGGGCTGATGTGAATTCTCCACTAACAGGCCAAGTGCGAGTAACATCACCACTGTAACCCCTAAACTCACTTCCTGTACCAAAAAATGCATAATTTCAAGTATGTACATAATAAGTGCTATATATTTAACTGATTATAATGGTACAAGAGAATTTAATGAAAAAATAAAAAATGGCTCATGAACAAATTTAAAAAACTGTTTATTATTACTAACCAGCATCCATTAAAACCATCTCTCCTGGATTAATAACCTGATTGTTATTAATGTAATGAATTATATTTCCTCTGGGCCCACCAGCTACCACAGGAGGATAAGCCAAGTAATCTGCACCTCTCATCCTGCTCTGATAGTCTACCACAGCAAATAATTGGTGTTCCATCACTGGAGCTCTTGTAGCTCGCATGGTGGCAGCTATAGATTCTCCACTTATTCTACATGTTTTTCTCATTAATTCTATTTCTGCAGGAGACTTGATTACTCGAAGAGCATGTATGTGAAATTTTGGTGATTCCATCCCTCCCTGGCGCCCTCCAAGCAGCCATCCTTGTAACTGCCGGTGAATCCCTGGATTAGGTGAACACTGTGAGTGATACCATAGAGTAGGGGAGTTTAGATCTGACTCTAGTTGGCCAAGGTAATGTGTAAGCTCACTAAGGGGTAGTCCAGCATCTACACCCCAAACACCTGAGGCATCTGAAGGTCCGGTGCGAGGGCCATCCCATAGTTCTTGACAAGGGTCATGATGCGGGATGAACATCACAGACTTGTGTACTGGGGCTCTCTTGCCTGGCAGTGTGTGTAGGACAAGAATACAATCAGGCTCCAAGCATCCAGACATATAAAGCATATCAGTATCCTGGAATATAATACAATATATTTATATTATCAATCAGATCAATATGAATACCATAATTGATTTCTGGTAAACTATTCGGTTAAAAGAATATCAAATAATTTTTTTGTAGAGTGAAAAATCTTTTTCAGGAAAAGAAAATTTAAATCTTGGTACAAACAATAATGAAGAAAATGAAAAATGAACATCCATAAAAACTGTATGGGATAAATAAATCCACAACTTTCAACTGGTGCATTAGCGCATTTAGTTATACAGTGGACCCCCGCCTTATGATGGCATCGCGTTACGTTAAATCCGCCATACGATACATTTGAACGCAAAAATTTTGCCTTGCCTCACGCGATTCGTCCGGGACGCGTCCCACGTGTGGCCTCAGCGCCAGTGTTTACAAGCCAGCCAGTGCGGTCACAACCACACATACATTCAGTATATTTCGCCTTGTCCCAATGTTTTTTGTGCTTGTAACTGCAAAATAAGTCACCATGGGTCATAAGAAAGCTTCTAGTGCCAACCCTGAGGTAAAAAGGGTGAGAATTAGTATGGAAATTAAGAAAGATTTTGAAGGGTTTGGGGCTAACTCTGAGAAGCCTATGCCAGTTGTGGAATCCATTGTGCCTACTTCAGAGATTAAGGAAATGTGTGCAAAGTGGGTTGAACTGCAAACCTTTATGGATGAAAAGCACCCTAACACAGCTATTGCAAGCCGTGCTGGTGACTATTACAATGACAATGTTGTGGCCCATTTTAGTCAAATCTTAAAGGAACAGGAGGTACAGACCTCTATGGACAGATTTGTTGTGAGGCAGAGGTCCAGTGACTCTCAAGCTGGTCCTAGTGGCATTAAAAGAAGAAGGAAAGTAACCCCGGAAAAGGACTTGCTACCTCAAGTCCTAATGGAAGGGGATTCCCCTTCTAAACAATAGCTTCCACACTCTCCCCTCCTCCCATCCCATCAATCATCATCAGATCTTCAATAAAGGTAAGTGTCATGTATTCTATTCTTAGTAGAGCAGCAATTGTGCATGTCTTCTTCAGTTTGTGTGTATTAAAATTAATATTTCATGTGGTAAAAATTTTTTTTCATACTTTGGGGTGTCTTGCACGGATTAATTTGATTTCCATTATTTCTTATGGGGAAAATTAATTCGCCTTATGATAATTTCGGCTTACGATGAGCTCTCAGGAACGGATTAATATCGTAAGGCAGGGGTCCACTGTATGTTTAAATTAATATTTTGAGCTTTGTCCCCAAACATTATGAAAAATGTCTTAGCAACATCAAGGGAGTTTGTTAGTTGTAATCAAAATACCATACAATGGGGCATTTGTGACATGAGGGTAATTCCACCACCACCACCTACAAGTTCCCATTATCTGTGTAGTATCCAAAATATGCACAGTAAACATTCATAATTCAAGGGCTTATGTTCCTGAAAACTGCACTACCAATAATTTTCACAACTTATGGAGTGAAAAAGGTATGGGAAAAAATAGGGTTGCATTCCTCACACTTCAAAAAAAAAAAAAAAAAAAAAAACTCAAACCAATCTTCTTTTCTATCAAAGTCTTCATAACAATAACACTTTACTACTTAATTTTTATTGATGAGGATGCTCTGTGAAATACCTGAATTCTAGTGAGGTTCAGACAGTGAGGAGGAAGAGCACATGTAGCTTAAAAATGGTTACATAAATACTGTATATGTAGTATTTGCTACTTACCCTCAAGTCAGGTTGGAGATGGTTAACATGCTGGAGTGATTGGAAAAGGCAGCGGTAGTCTTACCAGGTTGAGGTTCATGGGCTGATGTGATGCTGAAAGTTGGGGATCTTTGAATGCTGATGCAGCTTTATTAGCTGATTGTTGCAGTGAAGTGAGCAGGTATTCTATCATATGCCACGTTTTTATTTTATCCTGCAGTACTTTATAAAGCCCTGTGTGCATTCTAAACCTGTTAAGCAATCTAGAACTAAATATGCACTTGTTTTGGGCTGTCCTTCCTCTTCACACACTTTTTATAGTATGGTAAGGCTTTTTTCCTAATAAAGCCATCAAGTGGAACACTTTGACAATTTCAAAACTGGTATGAGTCAGAAAATCTTGTAAAGAATATGCTCATTGGATTCAGGTTCTATTTTTTTTTTTTAGCTTTAGAATATTTACTTTATTTTTTACTTAATTCTAACTATAGATTCACTACAAATCTTATGATTACAAGCATTGATCCTGATACCAACCTCTTATTTAATGACTTAAATGATTCAAACAGTTACTGTAATTACTACACAGCAGAACAATCAAAGGCACTTCTCAGAGCCAACAACAACATAACTATCTTTAACTACAATATCAGATCTTTAAGCAAGCATTATGATGACCTCCTAGCATTACTAAATTCCTTGCATGCCAATATGTCCATCATTACACTAACTGAAACCTGGCTAAAGCTTGATACTACAGATGTCTATGCCATTCCTGGTTACACAGCCATACACAACTGTAGGCCAGACCAACAAGGGGGTGGCACTGCTATATACTACTCAGACCAACTAGAATGTATCACTAATACTTGCACAAGGGATGAACATGGGGAATATATAATAGCTAAATTCAAATCCAAATACCTACAAAAACCTCTCACAGTGATAAACATCTACAGAGTTCCACAATCAAACATTAGCCAAT